TGGCGGCGTAGTGTGTTACTGATGGTAGGCTTTGTTACTTTGGTCCCAGCTCTCTGCAGGTCATTCACTAGGTCCCCCCGTGTGGTTCTGGGATTTTTGCTCACTGTTCTTGTGATCATTTTGACCCCACGGGGTGAGATCTTGCGTGGAGCCCCAGATCGAGGGAGATTATCATTGGTCTTGTATGTCTTCAATTTCCTAATAATTGCTCCCACAGTTGATTTCTTCAAACCAAGCTGCTTACCTATTGCAGATTCAGTCTTCCCAGCCTGGTGCAGGTCTACAATTTTGTTTCTGGTGTCCTTTGACAGCTCTTTGGTCTTAGCCATAGTGGAGTTTGGAGTGTGACTGTTTGAGGTTGTGGATAGGTGTCTTTTATACTGATAACAAGTTCAAACAGGTGCCATTAATACAGGTAACGAGTGGAGGACAGAGGAGCCTCTTAAAGAAGAAGTTACAGGTCTGTGAGAGCCAGAAATCTTGCTTGTTTGTAGGTGACCAAATACTTATTTTCCACCATAATTTGCAAATAAATTCATTAAAAATCCTACAATGTGATTTTCTGGAGAAATTTCTTTCTCTATTTGTCTGTCATAGTTGACGTGTACCTATGATGAAAATTACAGGCCTCTCTCATATTTTTAAGTGGGAGAACTTGCACAATTGGTGGCTGACTAAATACTTTTTTCCCCCACTGTATGTACTATAAAGGCACCTTGCCTAGTCTCATAGATGGCTCAGTTATCTACCGCCCCACTCATATTGGGAGGTGGGGGGGCAATGTAGCCTATTTCTTTGATTCTAAAATCACCATCACCCACTAATTAACTTATTTTTGCAGATTAAGTGTTTGAGCAAGGAATGTATCAAAATTTATTGTTTACAAATTAGTTATGACATAGTCAATGAATATACTCTGAGTGTACAAAACATTAGGAACACCTTCCTAATATTGAGTTGCACACCTTTTTGCCCTCAGAATAGTCTCAATTCGTCGGGGCATGGACTCTACAAGTTGTCGAAAGCGTTCCACAGGGATGCTGGCCCATGTTAACTCCAATGCTTCCAACAGTTGTGTCAAATTGGCTGGATGTCCTTTGGGGGGTGGACCATTCTTGGTACACACAGGAAACTGTTGAGCATGAAAAATCCAGCATGTTGTAGTTCTTGACACAAACCGATGCGCCTGGCACCTACTACCATACCCCATTCAAAGGCACTTAAATATTTTGTCTTAACCCATTCACCCTCTGAATGGCACACATACACAATCCATGTCTCTAGGCATAAAAATCCTTCTTTAACCTGTTTCCTCCCCTTCATCTACACTGATTTAAGTGGATTTAACAAGTGACATCAATAAGGAATCATAGCTTTCACCTGGATTCACCTGGTCAGTCTATGCCATGGAAAGAGCATGTTTTGTACACTCAGTGTATTTCTCATGCGATTTACTATCTAAATGACTGGCAATTAGTCATAACCTAAGGGAAGTTGCTTTGCATGGGTATCAACTAACTAACAGTATTTCCCTAGCTTTCACCTGGATTCACCTGGTCAGTCTATGTCTTGGAAAGAGCAGGTGTTCTTTATGTTTTGTACACTCAGTGTATAACACAACTTTGAATTACACCCCATCTCAAAATCTAATGGTTTTGTCCATTACGTTTTTACGGAGTTATCTTCTCTTCTACTCTCACTTCAGCCACGCAGTGCGCCTCGCAAAAGTCATTGCTGTTCTCGTTATAAAATTATCAGAAATGATCAAAAATGTATATCTGAAAATGATCATATACGCTGGATGTTTAAAGCAAAACTACCAAAACTATTGCTGATGGTGAACCTGAACCATCTACACTGAACAAAAATATAAACGCAACATGTAAAGTGTTGGTTCTATGTTTAATGAGCTGAAATAAAATATCCCAGAAATGTAACATATGAACAAAAAGCTTATTTCTCTCAATTTTGTGCACAAATTTGTTTAAATCCCTGTTAGTGAGCATTTCTCCTTTCCAAAGATAATCCATCCACCTGACAGGTGTTGCATATCAAGAAACTAATTAAACAGCATGATCATTACACAGGTGCACTTTGTGCTGGGGACAATAAAAGGCCACTCTAAAATGTGCAATTTTGTCACACAACACAATGCCACAAATGTCTAAAGTTTTGAGGGAGCGTGCAATTGGTATGCTGATTGCAGGAATTTCCACCAGAGCTGTTGCCAGATAATTTAATGTTCCATTTCTCTACCATAAGCCACCTCCAATGTCGTTTTCGGGAATTTGGAAGCAGGTCCAACCTGCCTCGCAACTGCAGACCACGAGTATGGCGTCGTGTGGGCGAGCGGTTTGCTGATGCCAATGTTGTGAACAGAGTGCCCCATCGTGGCGGTGGGGTTATGGTATGGGCAGGCATAAGCTATGGACAACGAACACAATTGCATTTTATCATTGTTAATTTGAATTAACAGATACTGTGACGAGATCCTGTGGCACATTGTCGTACCATTCATCTGCCGCCATCACCTCATGTTTCAGCATGATAACGCACGGCCCCATGTCGCAAGGATCTGTACACAATTCCTTGAAGCTGAAAATGTCCCAGTTCTTCCATGGCCTGCATACTCACCAGACATGTCACCCATTGAGCATGTTTGGGATGCTCTGGATCGACATGTACGACAGCGTGTTCCAGTTATCACCAATATCCAGCAACTTCGCACAGCCATTGAAGAGGAGTCGGACAACATTCCACAGGCCACAATCAACAGCCTGATCAACTCTATGCGAAGGAGATGTCGCGCTGCATGAGGCAAATGGTAGTCACTCTAGATACTGACTGGTTTCCTGATCCACGCCCCTAACTTTTTATAAAGGTGTCTGTGACCAACAGATGCATATCTGTATTCCCAGTTGTGAAATCCATAGATTAGGGCCTAATTTATTTATTTTAATTGACTGATTTCCTTATATGAGCTGTAACTCAGTAAAACCGTTGAAATTGTTGCATGTTGCGTGTATATTTTTGTATAATAAAATCTATTGTAAGCCCCGTTCAGCAGGTATAGCCAGATGAGTTGTCTCGGGTAGCTTACTTTTATTCCAGTAAATTTTCAACAGCGCATAGATAACAACTGAGCAAGTTGCATTGGTTGTCACTCAACTAATAAAGCCTAATATCACGCAAGCCATTTTAGCATTTGAATGCTGAAGGTACCGCCCAGATGTGCAAGATCAGGAACAGGGCGGCTACCTCTCTTTGGAATAACTGTGTGTTACTCTAGTGAAAGGATGATAAACTGCATTGATTCCAGCAGAAACTTAGCCTCTGAAGACAGAGCTGCCTCATGCTGGCCAGCTGGAAAATAACAACAGGACACATTTTCAATGTATTTGTATTTAGCTATGTTTTCATCGATTGTAGGGCTGTAGCCATTGAATCCTGGTAGTTGTCACCTTGAAGGAAAAACATCAATCACAAAATTGGCCGCTGGCAGAGCGCGGCCTCTCGCCCCAAGCGTTGCCTCAGTGAACGGTTCTTGCTATCCGGAATCTTTGGGACGTCCCTACCCCATTGAAGTTTAAAATTGTAAATGGTAAGGGTTACGGTAAGGGTTATGGTTAGGGTGTAGTTTAGGGATGTTCCAAGGATCCCAGATAGAACTAACCCTCCATGAAAGGCGTCAAGTACTCCCACACAGCTAGTTAGTTGAGTACTCGTAATGGAAATGGGGGTGGTGAAACATGATTTTGGACCAGTCCTTGACAAGTGACAACCCGTACATCAAAACGTACAGGGCATTCGGAAAGTATTCAGATCCCTTGACTTTTTCCACATTTTGTTACGTTACAGCCTTTTCCCCTCATCAATCTACACACAATACTCCATAATGACTAAGCAAAAACAGGTTTTTAGAAATGTGCACATTTATTAAAAATAGAAAACTGATATGACATTTACGTAAGTATTCAGACCCTTTACTCTGTACTTTGTTGAAGCACCTTTGGCAGCGATTACAGCGTCGAGTCTTGGGTATGACGCTACAAGCTTGGCACACCTGTATTTGGGGAGTTTCTCCTATTCTTCTCTACAGATCCTCTCAAGCTATGTCAGGTTGGATGGGGAGCGTCGCTGCACAGCTATTTTCAGGTCTCTCCAGAGATGTTCAAATCGGGTTCAAGTCCAGGATCTGGCTGGGCCACTCAAAGACATTCAGAGACTTGTCCCGAAGCCACTCCCGCGAGGATGGAATTATGGTCAGATTTGTCAAATAGAGCGCGAGGGAGAGCTTTGTATGCGTCTCTGTGTGTGGAGTAAAGGTGGTCTATAGTATGTATGTAGATCAATGACTGTCAACACAGTTACATGCGGTTCGACACTGAAAGAGAGGACGCATCAGTTATCACAAAATAGGTATTTTCGGAAGGTAGAAAGAATTTAACATAAGGAAAATAAACATTTAAACCGGCGATTTGTAACATTTCAATTGATATTCTAACAGATGCCTGCTACATTTGGATCGGTTTGGGGTCCGCGTACCGATGCACTTGTATCTTAAACATTTGAATCGGGGACCGATGCGTATTGGTGAATCGTTACATCCCTAATGGTTATGCATATGCTTTTCATATTTCTTCTTTAAGAAACATTTAAATGTAGCCACCCATGCATGGGGCAGCACACAATTGGCCCAGCGTCGTCCAGGGTAGGGGAGGGAATGGCCGGCAGGTAGCTCAGTTGGTAGAGCATGGCGTTTGCAACGCCAGGGTTGTGGGTTTGATTCCCACAGGGGGCCAGTATGAAAAATTAAAAAAGAATGTATGCACTCACTAACTGTAAGTCGCTCTGGATAAGAGCGTCTGCTAAATGACTAAAATGTAAAAATGTAAATATAGCCCTATCTATCTAGGCCAATTCCCACGAGTGTAAAGGGTTAAGACATTATCCTCGTTGTACCATGCCATGTTAATTGGACTCCTGTTTGTTTATAGGACATGGATGAGGCCCATTTTGGCTACTCATTCAAGTACCTGAAGAACAAGCCAGTGAAGGAGCTGAACGGAGATCAGTTTTTAAAGATGTGCCAGGCCGAGGAGGAGGGACTTCTCACCATTGACATTTGCATCGACCTCATAGGGGTCAAAGGGTAAGCGGATGTGTTTCTCATTATAGACATTTGCATTGACATCATAAGAGTCAAAGGGTAAGGTGAGGGCATCAACCTCATAGGGGTCAAAGGGTGTTGGGAAAACAACCTTTGAGTTAACCTTTGTCTCCTAGAATGTTTCTTTGGTTTGTTCAGGACAAAGCTAAAGGCTTCGGCTCAACTATATCCTTCTGCTCAAACCTTCTCCAGGGATTCTTTATTTTTGGTTCAGATTTTGGTTCATAATAATGTTTCTCTCTTCCTATCCCCCCCCCCCCCAGGTTTGCAGGTGACCAGATGTACTTTGATGAGATCAAGCAGTTCTATTACAGAGATGAGTTCAGCCACCAGGTGCAGGAGTGGAACCGACAGAGGACCCTGGCCATCGAACGCTCCCTCACACAGTTCCTCTACCCTCAGATGGCCAAGGAACTCAAGAACAAACTCATCGCAGAGTCCAAGGACAACATCATCAAGGTATATACTTGATAGCATTACAGCACACCTAGCTACATCCAGGACTCCGTATCATGTATTCCATATAATGGTGAATACCTCAAGAGTTGGCATAACTTGATCATTGGAGATTTTTTGTCTTTTCATGAAATGGTGAATTTCAATTTAGAAGAGCCGATGATACAGCGCATGTTGTGAATAAACATCCATTTCAAGCTTTAGTGTACATTTGGTCACAGTGGTGTATAATTCCTCATCCGGTTCACCTTTGACCCTAGTCATGTTGCAGGAGGCTGTATAACTGGCTTAAGGTGTAGTGTAGGTTGGTTGACACTGTGATATTGTGTGTCTGTCCAGTCGTGTTGCAGGAGGCTGTATAACTGGCTGAAGGTGTAGTGTAGGTTGGTTGACACTGTGATATTGTGTGTCTGTCCAGTCGTGTTGCAGGAGGCTGTATAACTGGCTGAAGGTGTAGTGTAGGTTGGTTGACACTGTGATATTGTGTGTCCGTCCAGTCGTGTTGCAGGAGGCTGTATAACTGGCTGAAGGTGTAGTGTAGGTTGGTTGACACTGTGATATTGTGTGTCCGTCCAGTCGTGCTGCAGGAGGCTGTATAACTGGCTGAAGGTGTAGTGTAGGTTGGTTGACACTGTGATATTGTGTGTCCGTCCAGTCGTGCTGCAGGAGGCTGTATAACTGGCTGAAGGTGTAGTGTAGGTTGGTTGACACTGTGATATTGTGTGTCCGTCCAGTCGTGTTGCAGGAGGCTGTATAACTGGCTGAAGGTGTAGTGTAGGTTGGTTGACACTGTGATATTGTGTGTCCGTCCAGTCGTGTTGCAGGAGGCTGTATAACTGGCTGAAGGTGTAGTGTAGGTTGGTTGACACTGTGATATTGTGTGTCTGTCGTGTTGCAGGAGGCTGTATAACTGGCTGAAGGTGTAGTGTAGGTTGGTTGACACTGTGATATTGTGTGTCTGTCGTGTTGCAGGAGGCTGTATAACTGGCTTAAGGTGTAGTGTAGGTTGGTTGACCCTGTGATATTGTGTGTCTGTCCAGTCGTGCTGCAGGAGGCTGTATAACTGGCTGAAGGTGTAGTGTAGGTTGGTTGACACTGTGATATTGTGTGTCCGTCCAGTCGTGCTGCAGGAGGCTGTATAACTGGCTGAAGGTGTAGTGTAGGTTGGTTGACACTGTGATATTGTGTGTCCGTCCAGTCGTGCTGCAGGAGGCTGTATAACTGGCTGAAGGTGGCTCCCTACAGACCAGACCAGCAGGCGGAGGAGGAGGAGGATGATCTGATGGATGAGAGTCAAGGAAAAGGCATCAGAGTCCTGGGAGTGGCCTTCGCAGACAGCAGGTGTGTGTGTGCGTGAAGGGGAAGGCGGTGTGTTATTATGTTTTTGTCAAACTTATTGTATACCATATATATTAATAATAACTGAAAGTTGTAATTCTGTTACCATAGAGACACGCCAGTGTTCTGTTCTCTGATCAACGGAGAGGGAGAGGTGGTAGACTTTCTCCGTCTGCCTTACTTCCTGAAGAGGAGGAACGCATGGAGGGAGGACGAGAGGGACAAAAAGGTACTGGACGGACGGACGGCAACATTCAACAACCTCTCCTCTGCCCTCCTCTCATGCCAACTTATCATTTAGCCATACATTCATCGGAAACATCACTTCGTCAGTGTAGTTGTATCAAAAGCTATACAAGTCTTCTCACTTTGGAAGTATCATGTATTCCAGGAGATATTGCAGGCTACACTTTGGGTTTGTTTATTCAGCTGCTGTCACCAACCTGTTAATCCTTAGATGTTGTCTCGTTTTATTTTGTTCATCTCATAGTCTTGTATTTCATACTTCCATTCGTATGATTATTATGATGGAGCCTATTATTGTAATGTTTTGTCTCCTCAGCTCCAGGACATTGAGAACCTAAAGAAGTTCCTGATCAGTAAGAAACCTCATGTGGTGGCTGTTGCCGGGGAGAATAGGTGAGCCTTCTCCAACTACTGACCACATTTGAGAAACAAAGCCTTTCTCTGTATGTGCAGAGAGCGCTTAAGAGTTGGTTCTCGTTGGTTTATTTTTGGATACCTACGGTGAAGGGCTTTTTTGCGTGTGCGTGTGTGTTACATGTGCGTGTGTGTAGGGACGCCCACATGATAATGGAGGACATTAAGAGGACAGTGAGTGAGTTGGAGCAGGAGTCTTCTCTGCCTGCTGTGGGAGTGGAGCTGGTGGACAACGAACTGGCCATGCTTTACATGAACAGCATAAAGTCTCAGGTACACACACACACACACATATACACACGCAGTCCACATGAACTGCAAGAATGCATAGCTACGTACACACACACATCTGATGACACATATCTAACCATACTCCTGACATTCTTCCCTCTCTCCTCCTCCCTCGCTCCAGACTGACTTCAGAGACTACCCTCCCCTGCTGCGCCAGGCCGTGTCCGTAGCCAGGAAGATCCAGGATCCCTTGGTGGAGTACTCTCAGGTCTGCAGCACAGACGAAGACATCCTCTGCCTCAAACTACACCCTCTTCAGGTGAGACACTGAGTGTGTGATGTGTCATCAGGACCCATATTCATAAAGCCTCAGAGTGGAAGTGCTGAAATAGCAATCATATATATTGTTTAATTTAGATCATAATGAATAAGATTGTATGGACATGGGGGACCTGAGCCTAGATCAGCACTCCTACTATGAGATGCTTTTTGAATACGAGCACTGCTTGAAAATTGTCAGAGAAAGGTCATCAATACTGAGTGGCCTTCGCAGTAAATTGACTTTCTGGTCCCCATCTCTCTCCTCCCTCCCCACCTCTCTCCCTCTCTCCCACCTTACCCTCTCAGGAGCATGTAGTAAAGGACGACCTGCTGAATGCTCTGTACTGTGAGTTTATAAACCGGGTCAACGAGGTGGGGGTGGATGTGAACAGGGCCATATCTCACCCCTACACACAGAGCCTGGTCCAGTTCGTCTGTGGCCTCGGACAAAGGAAGGGATCGCACCTGCTCAAGGTCTGTGTTTGTCTCTTTGTCTCTGAGTGTGTCTGTCTCTCGCTCTCTTTGTCTGTCTGTCTGCAGGTTTTGAGTCAGAGCCGTGTTCAGTATGTCTGTACACGGTCTGTATTGTGTCTCGTCCTCTCCACGGCAGTCCTGTGTCATGCAAATGTGTATGTAGACCTTTGTCCTTTGTAAAGGAGCAACGTTAGACATTTGGACAGTATTAGTATACCAATGATGTCTCTCCTTCCCAGATCCTGAAACAAAACAACACTCGTCTGGAGAACCGGACTCAGCTGGTCACCATGTGTCACATGGGCCCCAAGGTCTTCATCAACTGTGCCGGCTTCATCAGGATAGACACGGCCTCGCTCGGAGACAGGTACGTGTGTCTCTCTCTCTGTGTGTGTGAAGGGCAAATAATTATATTGGCTACCTAGAATGTTCTTCCCACACTGCGTATTCCTATGAAAAAAAATATAAAATTTTTGTTTTGTATTCTCTTGGTATTATGTTGGTTCTAACTCAGCCCCTTCCCCCCTCTGCAGTACGGACTCATACATCGAGGTTCTGGACGGGTCCAGAGTGCACCCGGAGACGTATGAGTGGGCCAGAAAGATGGCGGTGGACGCTCTGGAATACGATGAGTCAGCGGAGGACGCCAACCCGGCCGGTGCGCTGGAGGAAATCCTGGAAAACCCGGAGCGCCTCAAAGACCTGGATCTGGACGCCTTCGCTGAGGAGCTGGAGAGACAGGTACGGACAGGAGGGGGGGGGGGGGGTGCTCCTGTCTGTTATATTGTTCTTACATCCCCTAAGAACCTTGCTCTCTCCACATATACCTTTTGAATGACCTCTCACATGTCCTATCCTTACATGTTTACTTTAATAAGAACAATATGCCATACTCACCTTGTCCTCTCCCCTGTAGGGTTACAAACATATGTATAATATATTCACCTTGTTATCTCTCTTACCTCTGTTCTTTCCTGTAGGGTAATGGTAACAAGGACATCACTCTGTATGATATACACTCGCCTACATATTTACTTGGACAGTGAAGTTAAAACGTTTCATTTGGCTCTATACTCCAGCATTCTGGATTTGAGATGAAATGTTTCATATGAGGCGACAGTACAGAATGTCACTTTTTATTTGAGGGCATACATATCTGTTTTACCGTTTAGAAATGAAAGCGCTTGAGGTATCTAGTCCCCCCATTTGAAGGTGTCATAACTATTTGCACAAATTCACTTATGTGTATTAAAGTAGTCTAAAGTTTAGTATTTGGTCCCATATTCCTAGCCCGAAATGACTACTACATCAAGCTTGTGGCTAGAAACTTGTTGGATGCATTTGCAGTTTGTTTTGTTTGTGTTTCAAATGATGTTGTGCCCAATAGAAATGAATGGTAAATAATGCATTGTGTCATTTTGGAGTCATTTTTATTGTAGTTAAGAATAGAATATGTTTCTGAACACTTCTACATTCATGTGAATGCTACCATGATTACGGATAATCATGAATGAATGGTGAATCATGATGAGTGAGAAAGTTACTGAGGGTCAAAGATCATACCCCCAAGACATGCTCACCTCTCAACATTACCAATAACAGGGAGGAGGTTAGCATTTTGGGGGTATGATATTTATGCCTCTAACTTTCTCACTCATCATTATTCACGATTCATTCATGATTATCTGTAATCAATGTAGCATCCACATGAATGTAGAAGTGTTCAGAAACATATTATATTCTTAACTGCAATAAAAATGACTCCAAAATGACACAATGCATTATTTACCATTCATTTCTATTGGGCACAACATCATCTGAAACACAAACAAAACAAACTGCAAATGCATCCAACAAGTTTGTAGAGTCACACAAGCTTGATGTGGGGTGTTCATTGCGTACTAGGAATATGGGACCAAATTAGGGATGTGACAAATACACAAATTTTCTTCATGTTTAAAAGGCCATTTATTTAACTTCTAAACGTTAATAAAAAAAAAACATAAAATGACATGTGAATTCACAATGCAGATATGGTCCTGTGTATGAGCATGGCTACCAGACAGCACTCACCTTACTGTTGTTCCCCACCCCCACCCCCACCCCCACCCCCACCCAGCAGACCGAGGAGAAGAGAAAATAGTGTGCCTTCATTTTGCAAAATTTGAACGGTTATAGCGGTGATCGTTGACATTTGCTTGACAAATAACCTTAACCCAAAATTCCATGACCGTCACAGCCTTAGGTAGATGTGCAACTGCGGGAGTTAGAACTAAAGGCAAAATTGGAGCAACAGAAATTAGAGTTGGAATACAGGAAAAGGGAACTCAAGTTAGAGCAGATAGAAAAATAAAAAGAACGTTCAGCCAGACTAGAACAAGAAGAACGTGTATCCAAACAACAAGAACAGAAACGTGAGCATGCCATTCGATTTAAAAGCTATAGATCTGGAAGCACGCCGAAGAGAGATAGATCTGGAAGTACTCCGAATCCAGTCAGGCCATCCTGTACCCTCAACAGAGTTTGATCTTGGTCAGAACAGCCGGCTTGTACCGCCTTTCAACGAAAAGGTGGAAGTATGTTTTACTCTGTTTGAGTGGATTGCCACGTCCCCGAAATGGGCGTGAGAAATCTGGTCACTGTCGGAGTGACTTTGTTAGTTCCCTTTTCTGTGAGCGACGACATTTTGAGTTTGTCTTTTGGAAACGTAACACTGTCCAAATTAATACATAGGGTAGTGTATGTTATTCTCTTCTGTAGTGTTATGGTAACAAGCTCTATATCACTGTATGAGATATATGTATTGGCTAGGAATTGCCAGGGACCTCACGATACAATATTATCACGATACTTAAGTGCCGATACGATATGTATTGTAGGGTGTCCATCCACTCTGCCCAGAGTGGGTGAAAACGCGCTTTGGTGATGACATTTCACTTCCTTATGTTAGAAAATACATTTTACAAAGACAAATATGGTTATTCATGTTCTGAATCGTTCAGTGGGGTCTTTCTCTAACATATCATTAGCTTTATATCCAAAACGTCGGATTTCGTAACCTAATACATCCGATAATAAGCACCGAGCTCTGTTGACATAGCGATGCAGGTTTCTTGTAACAACTCCTTTTACATTTTGTGGTGTCTTGAAAATTGTTTCCGCGAGTCGCAAAAAGCTAAATTGGCATGACAGGAGCTGAATTAAATGTAAAAGGTTTTGAAAATAAAAAGCTTGCGGTACGCTCAGTGCGCCGTTGACATTTCATAGATACGCTTGTTTTTGTGTGTAATCTTTGAAAAAGAACAGTAATTTCAAATGAATATGAAAAGTCCAAACTCCTGAGTGGCGCAGTGGTCTAAGGCACTGCATCGCAGTGCTAACTGTGCCACTAAAGATCCTGGTTCGAATCCAGGCTCTGTCGCAGCCGGCCGCGACCGGGAGACTCATGGGCGGCGCACAATTGGCCCAGCGTCGTCCAGGGTAGGGGAGGGAATGGCCGGCAGGGATGTAGCTCAGTTGATAGAGCATGGTGTTTGCAACGCCAGGGTTGTGGGTTCGATTCCCACGGGGGGCCAGTATAAAAAAATAAATATGTATTCACTAACTGTAAGTCGCTCTGGATAAGAGCATCTGCTAAATGACTAAAATGTAAATGTAAAAGCGTATACTAAAATATAAAATACTACGTCATGTCTCAAAATCGATATTCATCTTACCTCTATATTTTTTTTATGTCCTGCAGATTTGAGAAGAAAGATGACGAGTTCAACGGGAAAGTGAGCCTGTCAGGTAGCCAGTAGCCTTAATTTTTGCACAGAATCCAGCCTAGCTGGCGCGATGCAATTTTCCTGTTTTTTTACCACTTTTCTTCTCTGGCCTCCATTAAGTTAGTCACCCTAATTCTGGCCATCCTAGTGTTTATGTACGTAAGAACTCCAATAAGTTTTGAACAGATTATGATAGAGACATGAGGTTTGGACCATTGGTTTTCTTAAAGGATTATCTAGACAATGAACATATTGGTCGAAATATTTGTTTTTGATTGGACACCCTATGTAGTATTGCGATTCGATACTGCGATTTTGTGATTCGATGTTCCAAACATATTGCTCACCAAATTTCTGCTGCAGAGGGACTAGAGCCATGAGAAAAGTTTTCATCAGTCATGGAAATAAAATAACTGGAAAAAATTGAGTTTGGTGCAGGTACAGCCGACTAGCGCAAAAATAATAGTGATATTATAAAAAATAATGTAATCAATTTTAGAATAAGGCTGTAACGTAACAAAATGTGGTAAAAGTCAAGGGTTCTGAATGCTTTCCGAATGCCCTGTATCTCGGTTTGATATATATTCACCTTTAGTCTCCCTGTCCCTGTAGGGTTATGGTAACAAGGGCATCACGCTGTATGATATCCGTGCTGAGTTGAGCTGCAGGTATAAGGACCTGAGAGTTCCTTACAGAGCTCCTAACACTGAGGAGGTGTTTAACCTGCTCACCAAGGAGACACCTGAGACCTTCTATATAGGTAACACACACACACACCTTCTACATAGGTAACACACACACACATACACCTTTACATTCTATGTAACTAACACAAATACTGCTCACATACTCACGACCTTGTCTCTCCTCCTCTCCCTCCCTGTTCGTCTCCAGGGAAGCTGATCACCAGTGTAGTGACAGGCATTGCTCACCGGCGCCCCCAAGGGGAGAGTTATGACCAGGCCATCAGGAACGACTCTACAGGACTGTGGCAGTGCCCTTTCTGTCAACAGGACAACTTCCCTGAACTCAGCGAGGTGAGATACCCTGACCTCTAACCCCTCAGCCCACGGCTTCTGACCTTTAGCCACTCACTCATTTCACTCATTACCCATTTATGACTTTAAATGGTGGTTTTGGAGAGTGTAAATAAAAGACACTTTAGAGGAAAGCTGTTAAATATTTTGGTTGGTCTCCCTCCTCTTATCCTTCTTCCTTTCTCTCCCTTCCTCCCTCCTTTCCCCCTCTCTCTCTGCTAGGTGTGGAACCATTTTGACAGTGGATCGTGTCCGGGCCAGGCCATCGGTGTGAGGTCTCGAATGGACAACGGTGTCCAGGGCTTCATCCCCACCAAGTTCCTCAGTGACAAGGTGGTCAAGCACCCTGAGGAGAGGGTCAAGGTGAGACACAGACACACACTGTCACACAAACACACATTCACATGCTTTCTCTCTCTCTCTCACACACACACACACACACCGTCCAGCACTAACACATCTGAATCAAGTAATCATGCAGGTCTTGTAGCTCTCCAGGACCAGGGTTAGAGAAATCTTCTGCAGTTGTTGCCTGGAGTTAGTTGAGTTCCTGTACAAGCGTTCACCCGTCTCTCCTCGTCTCCCCTCCTCCCTCTCCCAGGTGGGTATGACAGTACACTGTCGCATCATGAAGATTGACATTGAGAAGTTCAACGTGGACCTGACGTGTCGTACGTCTGACCTGATGGATAAGAACAATGAGTGGAAGCTTCCTAAAGACACCTACTACGACTTTGACGCAGAGACAGAAGACACTAAGACAGAGGAGGAACTCAAGAAGAAACAACAGAGAACCAGTCAGTATACACATCTAGTAAACAATAGTATAGTATACAGAGAATAAGCTGTCAGAGCCAGTTAGGGCTGGCACAATTACTGTATAACTGTGTAATTGACGGTTATGGATGAAGACTGTCATGAAAATAACATAATCAAATAACAAACTTTTTGTGGAAAGAACAGCTGACTGGTGCGGTTGAATCCGTTTCTCTACAGTAACATGGACATGAGACTTTGTTGCGCCGTGCTGAAACAAGCAGGGTTTTGTAGCAAACAAGTCTTTGGTTGCCTAGGCAATGACCCCCTCCTTGTAACAGCAGCACATGCAGTCAGGAATGGAGAAGAGGAGAAAATGTGCATCTTTAAAAAAAACTTTACAAACTACATTTTTTTGCTATTATGCCAGTTAATATACTGGGGCAGGCTTAGGGCTGAAACCAGCCAGCTTATGAATGTATTTTGTTCTTTGAACTTAGTAAACAAAAAAGACCACAATGTTCTTAACCTTACTCTTCCCTTTCCTACTTTCCTCTCCTTCCTCGGTCTGTCTTTCCTCCCTCTATCCACCCTCTTTCCCTCTCTCTTCTCTCCAGCCTATATAAAGCGTGTGATCGCCCACCCGTCCTTTCACAACATCAACTTCAAGCAGGCTGAGAAGATGATGGAGTCCATGGACCAGGGAGATGTTGTAATCAGGCCCAGCAGCAAGGGAGAAAACCACCTCACTGTCACATGGAAGGTATGGAGGGAGGGGGGAATAAGGAAATGGAGAAGTGCTTTCAATGAATGGATTGATACGGGCTTGTAATGTTCATTCATGGACAAACAGGTTGGTTGGTTGATTGATTATTGATTTGGGATGCTAATTCTTGTTGTAGGTGGCTGATGGTATCTACCAGCATGTGGATGTGAGAGAGGAGGGCAAGGAGAACGCCTTCAGCCTGGGACACACCCTCTGGATCAACACAGAGGTAGGGACTCTGTTTGTCGTTACCTCAGTGGCACACGCACAGAGTGTGTACGTGTGTGCATTATTCACACGCTTAAAGAGAGCTGACCAAATTCACATAGAAAAGTCAGTTAGAGATCTGTCATTGTCATTGAAAGCAAGTTTGGTAAGCAGTAGATCCGTTCTATGTGCGGTATTTCTATGCTTCCTGTCCATAAGTTTTGTTTTTGGGTCTTTGTACTTTCGGTTTTGTACATCAGCTTCAAACTGCTGAAAATATGATATTTCTAGTTATTTAAAATATATTTCACATTGGATTATAGTAAGATGATTCTCTACTACACTATACATTGCTTTTTGTCACATAAACTGAAATTAGGTGAACATTTTAAAAGTTTAGCAACCAGGCAATAGAGGGGTAAGGAGGAGGAGTCTACCGTGTCCGGAAGCGAATTCACCATACATTTTCTGTATTCAGGGTTCACACAAACATCGTTTTAAGCTTTGTTTTACTATTGACAGTTACAGCTGATTTCGGGATTGTATATCAGTTTGCTCTCCTAAATATAAGTCATCTGATTTATTCGTTTCAGTTTCTGAATTGTTTAATCAAACTTTTCGCTGCCAGCTCCTGATATCAGGGCATAAAAACTACAATCTGTCTCCTGAATTAGCCTAGTGGCAGGTGTGCCCAATTGGCGTACATAGACACTAGGCCCGAGCTGGCTTACCCCGGTTTTCCCAGGCTAAACTAGCTGAACTATGCCAGTTTTCGTCCTCATTGCCAGACTTCATATATACTGCACTTCAAAACTCCTTTGTTAGTTATACAATCATGTAACTTAGAAATTCGGGCAGCCTCTCCCCGCTTGGCGCGATGGGATACAGTACCTTCTGAAAGTATTCATATCCCTTTACTTATTCCACATGTTGTGTTACAGCCTGAATTCAAAATGCATTAAATAAAACAACATCTCACTGATCTACACACAATACCCCATAATGACAAAGTAAAAACATGTTTTTTGACATTTTAGAATTTTCTTTGAAAATGAAATACAGAAATATCTAATTTAAGTATTCACACTCCTAAGTCAATACTTTGTAGAAGCACCTTTGGCAGCGATTACAGCTGTGAGTCTTTCTGGGTAAGTCTCTAAGAGATTTCCACACCTGGATTGTGCAACATTTGCCCATTATTCTTTTCAAAATTCTTCAAGCTCTGTCAAATTGGTTGTTGATCATTACTAGACAGCCATTTTCAGGTTTTGCCTTAGATTTTCTAAACTGTAAATCGGCCACTCAGGAACATTCACTGTCTTCTTGGTAAGCAACTCCAGTGTAGATTTGGCCTTGTGTTTTAGGTTATTGTCCTGCTGAAAGGTGAACTAATCTCCCAGTGTCTGGTGGAAGGCAGACTGAACCAGGTTTTCCTCTAGGATTTTGCCTGTGCTTAGCGCCATTCCGTTTCTTTTTTATCCTGAAAAACTACACAGTCCTTAACGATTACAAGCATACCGATAACATGATGCAGCCACCACTATGCTTAAAATTATGGAGAGTGGTATTTAGTAATGTATTGGATTTGCCCCAAACATAACACTTTCTACTCAGGACAAAAAGTTTTTTTTGCAGTATTACTTTAGTGCCTTGTTTTGGAATATTGCATGTTTTGGAATATTTGTATTCTGTACAGGCTTCCTTCTTTTCACTTTGTCAATTAGGTTAGTATTGTGGAGTAACTACAATGTTGTTGATCCATCCTCAGTTTTCTCCTATCACAGCCAAAGGCGGTACCTAGTGAATTGCACAACTGAATTCATTCAACCGAAATGAATGCATTTCAAACTAAATGAATGCATCTCAAACTAAATGAATGCATCTCAAACTAAATGAATGCATCTCAAACTAAATGAATGCATCTCAAACTAAATGAATGCATTCAAAAGAAATGTTCAACCGAAATTAATCAGAGAGGTGTGGGGGGCTGCCTTAATCGACATCCACAGACGTACGGGTAGCAGTTGTTTTTGGGGGTTAACTGCCTTGCTCTATCTTATTTGTTGATAAAATCTGACTTTATTAATATAATGAGTAATCCAGGAATTTCACGGGTTAATTGACTGGAGAAAACTAGTGAAAATAGCAACTCTACAGATCGCAATGGCTACAATTAATGGCTAAATTAATTCCAGACACTAAGAGTCCGCGGAGCTCCTCCTCACCACTCTATGGCGCAACGTTTTCTACATATTGCGCCTTTAAAGAGAGAGTTCACCCAAAATACAATATGACATATTGGTTTCCTTACCCTGTAAGCAGTCTATGGACAAGATATGACAGTAATCCATCAATGTTTCCACATGCTAACTTTAGCATTTGTGGCACAAATCACATTCAAGTCATGGGACCAATATTGGCATTTGTAGCGTATCATGTTCAAATAAGTGACTTTGCTTCACAATCAATTTTAGGCCATACAAAGTTGATTTACTGTTTAACGGATTTTTAAAAAAAAATGTTTTAAGTGTGGTGATCGACCAAAGTAATACAAAAAATGTTATGAAAAAATGCAAAACTATTTTGACCTCTTGTAAAAATACTAAACAACCTTAGTACAACACCTAGTGACATTAGCCTTTCGATATAATGGTGTTGGAATGACAGTCACAGGACCATTTGGGTGAACTGTCAGTTTAATTCATCAGTCTCGCTCTTTCTTCTCTTTCTCTCTCTCTGTAGGAGTTTGAGGATCTTGATGAGATCACAGCTCGTTATATTCAGCCAATGGCAGCGTTTGCTCGCGACCTCCTGGGACATAAGTACTTCCAGGACTGTAACGGAGGGAACAGGAAGGTATGGGGGGGGGGGGGGGGTAAATATTGTCATAACCACAGGAAGTGGCACAGAGTATTAGTGTTTATTTTGATCAACCTCAAGTATCTCACAGAGTATTTGTTTTACAAACACTTACAAAGAAACGAACCTCCTTCCTGTCTATAAAACATGTTTGATCGCTCTAGTGACAATTGTTTGTTTCTATTATTCTCTATTTATAGCGCTACATATCTCCTTTTTATTCATCTACTCATCTTTTGTGACCCTCTTTCTGTCTCTCCCTCCGTCGGTCTGTGTAGAAAATGGAGGAATTGTTGATTAAGTCTAAAAAGGAGAAGCCTGCGTTCATCCCCTACTTTGTCTCAGCCTGTAAAGACCTGCCTGGGAAGTTCATTTTGGGGTACCAACCTCGTGGAAAACCACGGTGAGTTACCATGACTACAGCTAACTAACCCTAACCATGGTGAGTTACCATGACTATAGCTAACTAACCCTAACCATGGTGAGTTACCATGACTACAGCTAACTAACCCAAACCATGGTGAGTAACCATGACTACAGCTAACCTAACCCAAACCACTGTGAGTAAACATGACTACAGCTAACTAACCCAAACCACAGTGAGTTACCATGACTATAGCTAACTAACCCTAACCATGGTGAGTTACCATGACTACAGCTAACCCTTTACCCAAACCACGATGAGTTGCCCTAACTACTGAACTTAGGTACAGTTAATTTACTGGGCTGGTCCAACTCAAGGTGTCATTAAAAGAAAAATGCGCCCCCCTCCCCAACATTACAATTATTTTCACATGACCCTCCCCTTGTATTTAAAAAAAAAAAATGCACACCCTTCCCCCTCATATAATTAACTCAAAATAATGTTTACGACCACAAATAACAATAACTGTAGCGACCCTGTGTTTATAAACATGGCTATCAACTTTGCCACTTTAGCATGCTTTTGTGGCAGAGTCGATGCCACGCAGGGCTACGGGCCAGAAGGTTAAGGGTCCGCCGACCACCACAGACGAGCTCACTCTCCCTGCCTGTTTCATTAGGCCTATACTACGATCAGAGCCGGCTGCAGACCAATGATCAGCAAGGTGGAAATTAGATTTTCAACATGTTGATGCCATATTTATAATTATATAACATATATGCAACACATTTTTGACCAACAGGTTTCTGTGCCAATGCACCACACAACCAATAAACAAAGCATACCGACTTCTGGCGCTTCATGGTTTGCTTTTTCGACACCACAATAAATAGTCTGTCAATGTCGACAAAGAGAGAATGCATCCCTCCCTACCTTGTAGGCCGACCCAGTATCGAAGGCTTGACAATCTCTGAATGTCATTAAACTTTTTGGTGTTTTGTAACAGATGTCTCTTTCCATTCATCAAATGGCCACTGCACAGTTTGGATTGATTGATTGTATTTGTCAGTAAAAAAAAGTACATATACACACAGTATAAAGTGACTGTGACTGCACAATAAAGTCAGACTTATTTCCATTGTGGTCCCTATTTTTGACATAAATAAATATACAATTACATAGACACATTACAGAGATACAGACAAAAATAGGTTCTGCTGTTCACACATTAGCCAGCTTTTGATATTCTTTTAAAAAGTGGGTATGGCTTTGAGTTGCTGTGGTAGTTTGTTCCACTCAACAGCGCCGGTATATAAAAATGTGTTCTTACCAGATATATTCACTGTAAATATAAGAGTCTTAGAGTCACTTGCTCTGGTATTATGCTGGTAGACATCTGTAACAAATAAAAAATGGTTGGATAGGTACCTGGGGGCTAATTCTGTGGACCAGACCAAGTTGAATTAGTACTACTCTTTTTTTCTCCACAGATAGCCAGCCTAACTGCTTAAAATGCAGTACAATTCAAATAAGTACAATTCTTATAAGCTTGTTTTGGCTGGTCTGCAGCTTTTTCTTTAGATGTTTGGGGCTTCTGGTGAACCATGATGTGCAGGCGTAATCAAAGTGACACTGGACAAGCGCACTTGCCAGTATTCAAACATTTGCATGAAAACAGAGTTGTTTCCATCAAATTGACTTGTTGCGGATAAAAGTGCATAAATATGTAGTCCACATAAAAATAACTTCTGCAGTTAAGTTCCCATGTACCGGATAAAAATGGGTTTCCAAGTTATATGGGTTTCCATCACATTTTCAACTCTAGGCCTACTGATGGTTTTGTCACAAAAAGTGGTGCTTATGTATAGCAAATGTACCCACTCTGGTATTTGTCAAACGGCAGCCAAGCATCTATCATGTCACCAGCATAAGACCCTCGACATGTACTCACATAAAAAGGTTGGGTGGAAACCTGGTTAATGTCAAGCCATTTTGAGGATGCTGGAATTATATTTTGGATGAACGCGCTTTTGAAGTAGCTTAATCAGATTAAAACATTGTGACTGGTTGGGTTTATAAAAGGTAATACTTTTTCAAAGTTAAATGACAAATATTTAGGCTATATTGAAGTGTTAGGTTCTAGGTACACGAGGAATAGCCGCTTGGATTGGAGAAGAGGCAGAGCGAGCGTTAAGCTTTCCTGAATAACTGGGCCTTCCGGGAGCATATGTGGTCACATTATTATAGGACGACTTTGGAGAATGATGATCTACAACAGACAGCGCATCTCAGTATCAGAAATAAAAATACAGCCAGACTGGCATGCCACTGTGCCTTTCTAGACCTTATAAACTGTCTTGAGTAGACTCACAACTGATCCAAATGGAATGAAACATTCAAATCACAGGGCTTTTGCACCGTTATTCAAATTTCATTTTCACTGCAACCTAGAGTCGAATGTTGTACTCACTTGAAAACAATAATGCACTTATTCATTGCATTGTGGTGTTGTAGGCTTATTTAAGTAGGATGTAAAAAAAAAAAAAAAAAAAAGGGGGGGGGGGGGGGGGGGGGGGGGGCTTTTTGAGCTGCATGTCTCATGTCTTCACTGTTTTTTCATGCACAATGATGCACCTGGCCTCTCCACTGCCTACCAGCTATTCCTATTTGTTCTTGTGGATTCATATTGAAAATGTACGCATCTTTGAATGCTTTTATGTGTGGTATGATTGCTAGTGAGCCTATTTCAGATCTGGACAAACGATCCACCTACCACTATTGTCACTATGAATGGTGGATAGAGGGCAGAATATATAGTTGGACTGGAAGACTATACCCACTGGGCACAGACATCAATTAAACATCTATTCCACGTTCAACGTAATTTCATTAAAATGACGTGGAAACAACGTTGATTCAATCAGTGTGTGCCCAGTGGGTACGGACCTGTGGTATAGTAAAGGTTAGCGCGCGGAAAAGCATAGTGCATAAGGGAAGTACCAAAACACCTTGATATAAGGGAGGAAGGGCCGCAACTTTCACTGGGGACGGGGAACATTCTAAAATTGCATTTTTGTCCCCCCCCCCAGTTTTATCATTGCACTGTGATACTAAAAGTGGCATTCACTGTATTATTATTAGTCATTTAGGCCTACAGTGGACATGTGTTTTGCAGAACTCACAACCTATGCTACACTTGTGAGAAACAAGTTTTTGTTTATTTCATTCCATTTGAGTTTTGTCAATCTATTTGTCTTTTGTTTAAAACGCTGCTGTCAATGTTGAGTAAGGACGCGCAACTGATTATGCATATAAGTAGGACTAGTCTACATCTGCGCGCAAATGTAGGCCTATAAATGTGCCCATTTGGGGATGTCTGATACTATTTCTGATTGTCTTAACTCGCCACCACTAATGAGCAGTGGAGCTTCTCAAAGTAATTTTTCTTCACCTCAAACAGCAAGTAAACTAAGTCTGTTTTTAGAATCAATTGAGAATGACAATAGTTCCTCAAAGTTTTTGAACAATATTTCCAACTCTCACTTTCGATAACCACTCGATATGAAAGGGAAAAATGTAATGGTCTGATCCAGAGGAAACGTCATAAAATATGTGATTACTTCTTATCTCTTGTACAAATAGCCTACAGCTGTGTCTGGCCCGAGCTCATTGGCCCGGGAAACTCTGAGGGCCCAGAATGTTTTATACAATGTTTCAAGTTTGATAGCGCGAGTTTCGGGCGACCCAGTTGATAGTTGATACAATATATCAAATTTGTTGCAGGCAGGCCATACGTAGCCAATGTGATTTATAGGATATTTATATTTATCAGGATATTTTCTACCTGCAGGCTGCAATGCTTTAATGTGTTGGCTTTATGTAGGATATTTTTACATAGTTCACAATGGCATTAAGTTACTTTTAGATTTGTATAATTTTCATTTAGATTTAGATCGAATGTAGATTAACCACAGACAATGATGTTGAGATACAAGGACTATTAAAATGAAATTAAACTGTTCCACGAAAATGTGCATATGAAAATCCTAGCTGTCACTCAGATTGGTAGAAATGGTAAGATAAATTGGCACTCCAAATGGAAAAGGTTGCAGACCGCTGGTGTAGCCTATTACCGGCAACTTCAGGAGCGTAATGGCAGAATCTGTGAATGCCAGCAGCAGCAAGATGAGGGTCGGGAACAGGTTTGTCTTCTTCTGGTTAGTCTATCTCGATCTCTGGCTCCCTCTTGAGTCATTTGTGTGTCTTAATTATTTTATCAAACAGCCTGCTTAAAGCGTCAGACAAGTTCAGTACATATAGCCTACCTAGTTGATTTTATTTAAACACATACAGTGAGGGAAAAAAGTATTTGATCCCCTGCTGATTTTGTACGTTTGCCCACTGACAAAGAAATGATCAGTCTATCATTTTAATGGTAGGTTTATTTGAACAGTGAGAGACAGAATAACAACAAAAAAATCAAGAAAAACGCATGTCAAAAATTTTATAAATTGATTTGCATTTTAATTAGGGAAATAAGTATTTGACCCCCTCTCAATCAGAAAGATTTCTGGCTCCCAGGTGTCTTTTATACAGTTAACGAGCTGAAATTAGGAGCACACTCTTAAAGGGAATGCTCCTAATCTCAGTTTGTTACCTGTATAAAAGACACCTGTCCACAGAAGCGATCAATCAGATTCCAAACTCTCCACCATGGCCAAGACCAAAGAGCTCTCCAAGGATGTCAGGGACGAGATTGTAGACCTACACAAGGCTGGAATGGGCTACAAGACCATTGCCAAGCAGCTTGGTGAGAAGGTGACAACAGTTGGTGCGATTATTCGCAAATGGAAGAAACACAAAAGAACTGTCAATCTCCCTCGGCCTGGTGCTCCATGCATGATCTCAACTCGTGGAGTTGCAAGGATCATGAGAACGGTGAGGAATCAGCCCAGAACTACACGGGAGGATCTTATCAATGATCTCAAGGCAGCTGGGACCATAGTCACCAAGAAAACAATTGGTAACACACTACACCGTGAAGGACTGAAATCCTGCAGTGCCCGCAAGGTCCCCCTGCTCAAGAAATCACATATACAGTGGGGGAAAAAAGTATTTAGTCAGCCACCAATTGTGCAAGTTCTCCCACTTAAAAAGATGAGAGAGGCCTGTAATTTTCATCATAGGTACACGTCAACTATGACAGACAAATTTAGATTTTTTTTCTCCAGAAAATCACATTGTAGGATTTTTTATGAATTTATTTGCAAATTATGGTGGAAAATAAGTATTTGGTCACCTACAAACAAGCAAGATTTCTGGCTCTCACAGACCTGTAACTTCTTCTTTAAGAGGCTCCTCTGTCCTCCACTCGTTACCTGTATTAATGGCACCTGTTTGAACTTGTTATCAGTATAAAAGACACCTGTCCACAACCTCAAACAGTCACACTCCAAACTCCACTATGGCCAAGACCAAAGAGCTGTCGAAGGACACCAGAAACAAAATTGTAGACCTGCACCAGGCTGGGAAGACTGAATCTGCAATAGGTAAGCAGCTTGGTTTGAAGAAATCAACTGTGGGAGCAGTTATTAGGAAATGGAAGACATACAAGACCACTGATAATCTCCCTCGATCTGGGGCTCCACGCAATATCTCACCCCGTGGGGTCAAAATGATCACAAGAACGGTGAGCAAAAATCCCAGAACCACACGGGGGGACCTAGTGAATGACCTGCAGAGAGCTGGGACCAAAGTAACAAAGCCTACCATCAGTAACACACTACGCCGCCAGGGACTCAAATCCTGCAGTGCCAGACGTGTCCCCCTGCTTAAGCCAGTACATGTCCAGGCCTGTCTGAAGTTTGCTAGAGTGCATTTGGATGATCCAGAAGAGGATTGGGAGAATGTCATATGGTCAGATGAAACCAAAATAGAACTTTTTGGTAAAAACTCAACTCGTCGTGTTTGGAGGACAAAGAATGCTGAGTTGCATCCAAAGAACACCATACCTACTGTGAAGCATGGGGGTGGAAACATCATGCTTTGGGGCTGTTTTTCTGCAAAGGGACCAGGACGACTGATCTGTGTAAAGGAAAGAATGAATGGGGCCATGTATCGTGAGATTTTGAGTGAAAACCTCCTTCCATCAGCAAGGGCATTGAAGATGAAACGTGGCTGGGTCTTTCAGCATGACAATGATCCCAAACACACCGCCCGGGCAACGAAGGAGTGGCTTCGTAAGAAGCATTTCAAGGTCCTGGAGTGGCCTAGCCAGTCTCCAGATCTCAACCCCATAGAAAATCTTTGGAGGGAGTTGAAAGTCCGTGTTGCCCAGCGACAGCCCCAAAACATCACTGCTCTAGAGGAGATCTGCATGGAGGAATGGGCCAAAATACCAGCAACAGTGTGTGAAAACCTTGTGAAGACTTACAGAAAACGTTTGACCTGTGTCATTGCCAACAAAGGGTATATAACAAAGTATTGAGAAACTTTTGTTATTGACCAAATACTTATTTTCCACCATAATTTGCAAATAAATTCATTAAAAATCCTACAATGTGATTTTCTGGATTTTTTTTTCTCATTTTGCCTGTCATAGTTGACGTGTACCTATGATGAAAATTACAGGCCTCTCTCATCTTTTTAAGTGGGAGAACTTGCACAATTGGTGGCTGACTAAATACATTTTTTCCCCACTGTACATGGCCGTCTGAAGTTTGCCAATGAACATCTGAATGATTCAGAGGAGAACTGGGTGAAAGTGTTGTGGTCAGATGAGACTAAAATTGAGCTCTTTGGCATCAACTCAACTCGCCGTGTTTGGAGGAGGACGAATGCTGTCTATGACCCCAAGAACACCATCCCCACCGTCAAACATGGAGGTGGAAACATTATGCTTTGGGGGTGTTTTTCTGCTAAGGGGACAGGACAACTTCACCGCATCAAAGGGACGATGGACGGGCCAAGTTCCCTCAGCCAGGGCATTGAAAATGGGTCGTGGATGGGTATTCCAGCATGACAATGACCCAAAACACACGGCCAAGGCAACAAAGGAGTGGCTCAAGAAGAGGCACATTAAGGTCCTGGAGTGGCCTAGCCAGTCTCCAGACCTTAATCCCATAGAAAATCTGTGGAGGGAGCTGAAGGTTTGAGTTGCCAAACGTCAGCCTCAACCTTAAAGACTTGGAGAAGATCTGCAAAGAGGAGTGGGACAAAATCCCTCCTGAGATGTGTGCAAACGTGGTGGCCAACTACAAGCAACGTCTGACCTCTGTGATTGCCAACAAGGGTTTTGCCACCAAGTACTAAGTCATGTTTTGCAGAGGGGTCAAATACTTATTTCCCTCATTAAAATGCAAATCAATTTATAAAATTTTTGACGTGTTTTTTCTGGATTTTTTTGTTGTTATTCTGTCTCTCACTGTTCAAATAAAACTACCATTAAAATTATAGACTGATCATTTCTTTGTCAGTGGGCAAACATACAAAATCAGCAGGGGATCAAATACTTTTTTCCCTCACTGTAGGGTCTGTCTATATATGGAAAAATAAACGTTAAAAAATTTACACCAATCGATTGGTTGTTGTTGTCGGGGACAGCCCTAGTAGAAATGCAGGAAATGAGCTTTAGATGGCCAAAAAATTCTGAGGAAGGTCCTCCAGACCCACTGCCAGGTTATGTCCCTCTCACTTTTAAAACCAAAGTTGCGCCCCTGAGGGGAGGCGATTGAAAGCAGATGAGGAAATTTGGCTTGGATGGCAGAAATGATATAGTAAAACCTGCAAAAGAGTGAATGTAAACCAGGGGGAAAACGCACTACCCTCCCCTGTGCCCAATAAAAAAAACACACACAACCCTCCCCAAAAAGTCCGATTTTGCAACCTAATACATCCGATAATAAGCACTGAGCTTTGTTGACAGAGCGGTGTGCTTTCTCGCAACGACTTTTGAGGATTTTAGATGTTGTGGTGGTAATCTGCAAAGTTGTTTCTGTGGGTCGTAAAAAGCCAAATTAACATGACACAAACTGAATTAAATGTAAAAGGCTTTGAAAATAAAAAGCTTGTGGTACGGTCAGTGCTCCATTGACATTTCATAGAGATATGCTTGTTTTGTGAGAAATCTTGAAAAAATAACAGGAATTTTGCATTAATATGAAAAGCATATACTAAAATATAAAAATACTTCATGTCATGTCTTAAAATCTATCTTAACTCTATATTGTTTTATGTCCTGCGGATTCGACAAGAAAGATGACAAGTTCAGGAGGAAAGTGGACCTGTCAGGTAGCCTTCATTCAGCCTGTCAAGTAGGCTTGATGCAGTGCAATTTTTCTTATGTTTATTCACTTTTTTTCTCTGGCCTCCGTTGATTTAGTCACCCTAATTTTGGGCGTCGTACAATGGTAAAACTCCCAACTTTTGAACGGATTGTGATAGAGACATGAGGTTTGGACCATTGGTTTTCTTAGAGGATTATCTACACTTTTAACATTATTTTACCCATTGGTCAAAATATGCGTTTTTGATTGGACACCCTAAACTCTAAACCTTTTACCTTTAACCATTACAGTTCGGAGCAGCTGACTGTTCTGAGTGAGGTGATGTGTTGTATCTGAATCTGTCCTGTTGTCCTCTGCTCCGTGTCTGCAGTGTTGAGTTTGTGACCATCAGTCCTGACGGGTTCCGCTACCGCTCCCAGATGTTCCCCACTGTTAACGGACTGTTCCGCTGGTTCAAAGACCACTTCCAGGAACCGGTACCAGGTATGAGGGTCGTTCCACGAATAGAGTACATTTTGGGTAGTGTAACTTGATTTAAATAAATAAATAAAAATAATTTCACGGAATGTTAACATTCTGTCATGTTTTCCCAACTCAAGGGGTTTTAAACAAAATAAAATACCATTGTAAGTGCTAGGGTTGAGCGGAATCCAGATGTTCATATTGTCATACCGTCCTTCTCTCATCATGGGATTTACGGTAGTACCGTTTTAGTACACAAGGGGCAGTAAAACGCAAAAAAGCCCATTAGGCGTTCAGTTCACATACGTTTCAGCACCACACAAATAATGGACAGTTCCCTGATCCACTGCGTGCGTGGCTGGTAGCCTATATGTCTGCCTCACCGCTCACAGAATGGAATTCGCAACACAACAAGCTCCTGGGTTTGCAAAAAAATTATCTTGATTTAAAAGTTTTCTGACACGCAATATAATTGTTCTGAATCGTGAGCCGACCTGCGGGTTGAATAATATTTTCATTCCACCCGCCAGCAGATACATTTTTTTGAGGGTCAACCGTGGGTAACTTGTGGGTATCCGCCCAGATGCAAGATGCTCTCACACACAGTCTCTCCCTCGCACAGGTTAGGCTCAGGTTAAAAACAATTTCATGATACTATTCGAATAGTGACACTATTTCAAACGCCCATCCCTACTTTGTGCTATTTTGGATTGTATTGGTTGTATTTCTGTCTCTGTGTAACCAGGCATCACCCCCAGCAGTAGTAGTCGAACACGGACACCTGCGTCTGTCAACGCTACACCAGCTAACATCAACATCGCAGGTCAGTCACACACACCAGCAATTTTGAATTTTTTTTGTGTTCTATCCAAACAGATACCCTATAGAGTTACAGTATTTCTGACTGTTGTCTTTCTCCCTCCTTCCTGCCCTCCCCCCTACGTAACTCTCTTTCTCTCTCTGTCTTTCAGACCTGACGCGAGCGGTCAACGCTCTCCCGCGCAACATGACCTCTCAGATGTTCAGTGCCATCGCCGCGGTGACAGGGCAGGGCCAGGGCCAGAACGCAAACACCACGCCCGCCCAGTGGGGCTCCAGCCAATACGGTTACACCGGGGGCAGCAGCGGGGGTGGGGGAGGCAACTCCTCAGCCTATCACGTGAGTGCTTTTTATGTTTTGGGTTTATAGCACTAATCGCTTTCCCAATGGTCCAATCGCTTTTCTATTATATTGGGGTATAATTAAGGTAACTCACCTCAACCACTGCCAGTGTGTAGCACCCACCTGAGTGACGCTAAGGAAGCTTGCTGTGGCAGAAAGATCATCAAACATAGACCATAATCACATTGGAGAGATGAAAAGTGAATAGTGAAATATTAAAAATGGAATGTTCTCTTTCTTTACTGATGTTTGCCACAAATCAGTTGATTGATTGACGGACTGACTGATTGAATTACCGATTGATTTGCAGGTATTTGCAACGCCCCAGCAGCCGATGGCGACGCCCATGATGACCCCCAGCTACTCGTACACCACCCCCAGCCAGCAGACCATGGGTACGCCCCAGTACCCCTCCTCCACCCCCTTGTCCTCCCACGGACACACCCACAGCAGCCACGGTCACACACAGAGCAGCCATGGGCATGGCCACAGCAGCAGCAGCAGCAGTCAACATGGACACTCATCCAACACACCTTCCTCCTCCTCCACCTCTTCCAGAGGACGCACGCCGCAGAAGCCTAAGTAAGTAGAGATGGGGAGTGTGTGTGTGTGTGGTTTAGCTGGATGTGTGGACGTGTGTGTATAAGATGGAGTTTAAATAGTGTTCTAAGCCAAATTCCAAAGGATGTGCCCCCAGCCTCAAGGTTTGGAGTTTTGCACCCCCTTCTTGTGACAAAGAGCTAGATAGCACTGATAACACTGCACCATCGAAGCTGCCCTGTACCTAACCTAGCCATCTAAAAGACTACAACATCCAAACTGGAAAGCCTACAACATCCAGACTGCCCTGTACCTAACCCAGCCTTCTATAATACTTTCCCCCCTTTTTTTTTTTTTTTTCTTTATTTCAATATCTAATTGAGACCAAGGCCAAAGGGAGCCCTGCATGTACACAATCATACAAATTCACAATATTTACAATTCCAACACAATAAAAACATATAATATTTACAAGCAATTTCAGAAAAGTAACTTGCAAAACACAATCATGAAAAACAAACATTCCTCAGTAAAAAGGACATCTGAATTGCCCTAGCAGCACCAAAACATCCAACTTCAGAGAGTTTTGGAGATCATTCCACAAGTAAGGTGTAAAAAAAACTAAACGCAGATCTACCTAACTCAGTGGAGACCGAAGGGATCTCCAGAGTTAGCCATTATAATTGTTTTTAACAATTTTAGTCATTTAGCAGACGCTCGTTTGTCTGAGACCGGGTCTGGTAGCTCGCACGCCTGTAGGTTAACAATTAAATAAGGTATGGCAGAAGTTTGTGCAAGAGGTTCCCCCCAATTGTCCCCATGTTGGAGACTAAGAGATTTGAAAGTCTAGGTTTGAAATAAAATGTCACCAGTTACTGTTCCAAACAATCTGATCATTCACCGAATGGTGGCGTTCTAAACATGCGCAAATTCCTATAGGAACACAGCTATTTCAAAAGCGCAGGGCTTGTGCCAACATGCCATGCCTTCATTTTATGTCTTACAGGAATGATATACATATGAGGAGAAAACTGAAGTCTCTACCTATCCATTAATGTACATGCAGTGGAGACGTCAAGCGCTTTGGAGACGTTATGTGATGTTCTGCAATGTAGTGGAAGAACTGGGAATCAGACAGGAGATATACATTGCATTCGGAAAGTATTCTGACCCCTTGACCTTTTCCACGTTTTGTTACGTTACAGCCTTATTCTAAAATTGATTAAATTGTTGTTTTTTCCCTCATCAATCTACACAAAATACCTCATTGACAAAGAAAAAACTGTTTTTTTGAAAATGTTGCAAATGTATCAAAAAAAACAAACGGAAATATGACATTTACATAAGTATTCAGACTCAGTACTTTGTTTACGCACCTTTGGCAGCGATTACAGCCTCAAGTCTTCTTTGGTATGACGCTACAAGCTTGGCACACATTCTTCTCTGCAGATCCTCTCAAGCTCTGTCAGGTTGGATGGGGAGCGTTGCTGCACAGCTATTTTCAGGTCTCTCCAGAGATGTTCGATCGGGTTCAAGTCCGGGCTCTGGCTGGACCACTCAAGGACATTCAGAGACTTGTCCCGAAGCCACTCCTGCGTTGTCTTGGCTGTGTGCTTAGGGTCGTTGTCCTGTTGGAAGGTGAACCTTTGCCCCAGTTTGAGGTCCTGAGCGTTCTGGAGCAGGTTTTCATCAAGGATCTCTCTGTACTTTGCTCCGTTCATCTTTCCCTCGATCCTGACTAGTCTCCCAGTCCCTACCACTGAAAAACATCCCCACAGCATGATGCTGCCACCACCATGCTTCACCGTAGGGATGGTGCCAGGTTTCCTCCAGATGTGACGCTTGGCATTCAGGCCAAAGAGTTCAGTCTTGGTTTCATCAGACCAGAGAATCTTGTTTCTCATTGTCTGAGAGTCCTTTAGGTGCCTTTTGGCAAACTCCAAGCAGGCTGTCATGTGCCTTTTACTGAGGAGTGGCTTCCGTCTGGCCACTCTACCATTAAGGCCTAATTGGTGGAGTGCTGCAGAGATGGTTGTCCTTCTGGAAGGTTCTTCCATCTCCACAGAGGAACTCTGGAGCGCCAACAGCATAGCCCACAAGCACCAGGCATGGGTAACTTGACCCAATGAGTATCTCATGTCAGCTATCTCATTAAAGTATTACAAAGCAGAGTAGCCTAAAGTACAGTACCTTCAGAAAGTATTCATACCCCTTGACTTATTCCACATTGTGTTGTGTTACAGCCTAAATTCAAAATTGATTAAATCTTTTTTTCTCACGCATCTACACACAATACCCCATAATGAAAAAGTGTTTTTAGAGATTTTTGCAAATGTATTGAAAATGAAATGCAGAAATATCTCATTTACATAAGTATTCACACCCCTGAGTCAATACATTGTAGAAGCACCTTTGATGGTGATAACAGCTTTGAGTTGTCTTGGATATGTCTGTATCAGCTCTGCACATCTGGATTTGGGGATTTTCTACCATTCTTCCTTGCAGATTTTCTCAAGCTCTGTTAAATTAGATGGGGCGCGGCGGTGAACAGCAATCTTCAAGTCTTTCCACAGATTGTCAATGGGATTCAAGTCTGGGCTTTGGCTGGGCCACTCAAGGACTTTGACATTATTGTTCTGAAGCCATTCCAGCATTGCTTTGGCTGTATGCTTGGGGTCACTGTCCTGTTGGAACGTAAATCTTTGCCCCAGTCTAAGGTCGTTTGCAAGTTCTCATCAAGGATTTGCCTCTATTTGGCTCCATTCATTGTTCCCTCTATCCTTACCAATCTCCCAGTCCCTGCCGCTGAAAAACATCCCCACAGCATGATGCTGCCACTACCATGCTTCACCGTAGGGATGGTGCCAGGTTTCCTCCAGACTTGACGCTTGGCATTCAGGCCAAAGAGTTCAGTCTTGGTTTCATCACACCAGAGAATCTTGTTTCTCATGGTCTGAGAGTCCTTTAGGTGCCTTTTGGCAAACTCCAAGCGGGCTGTCATGTGCCTTTTACTGAGGAGTGGCTTCCGTCTGGCCACTTTACCATAAAAGCCTGATTGGTGGAGTGCTGCAGAGATGGTTGTCCTTCTGGAAGGTTTTCCCATCTCCACAGAGGAACTCTGTCAGAGTGACCATCGGGTTCTTGGTCACCTCCCTGACCAAGGCCCTTCTCCCCCGATTGCTCAGTTTGGCCGGGCGGCCAGCTCTAGAAAGAGTCTTGGTGGTTGCAAACTTCTTCCATTTAAGAATGATGGAGGCCACTGTGTTCTTGGGGACGTTCAATGCTGCAGACATTTTTTGGTACTCTTCCCCAGCTCTGTGCCTCGACACAATCCTGTCTCGGAGCTCTACGGACAATTCCTTCGTCCTCGAGACTTGGTTTTTGCTCTGACATGCACTGTCAACTGTGGGACCTTATATAGACAGGTGTGTGCCTTTCCAAATCATGTCCAATCAATTTAATATACCACAGGTGGACTCTAATCAAGATGTAGAAACATCAAGATGTAGAAACATCTCAAGGATGATCAATGGAAACAGGGTGCACCTGCGCAAAATTTAGTCTCATAGCAATACTTTGCAAACATTTCAAAAAAACTGTTTTTTGAGTAGATTGATGAGGGAAAACATTTATTTAATCCATTTTAGAATAAGGCTGTAACGTAACAAAATGTGGAAAAAGGCAAGGGGTCTGAATACTTTCCGAATGCAATGTATATCTCCTGTCTGATTCCCAGTTCTTCCACTACATAGCAGTAGAAGATCACATGACATCTCTTGGCCGCTTGAAACCAGTTATGTCTGGTTTGGGTAGTGAATCACTGTGCCAAAATGTCTGAACGGATTTTCAAGCCTGACATCTTAAAATGACCTAAGCAATCAGGCTTTACATTAATAAGACACAAGATAGGAAACTTCAATCTTCTTTTCCTATTCACTTTTCCTATTGTAAACAATAAGCTAGATCAGTGTTTCCCAACCCTGGTCCTCCAGTACCCCCAACAGTAAACAGTTTTGTTGTAGTCCTTGACAAACACACCTCATTCAACTCATTGAGGGCTTGATGATTAGTTGACAAGTTGAATCAGGTGTGCTTGTCCAGGGTTACAATACAAATGTGTACTGTTGGGGGCAATGTTCCCTCTAAGCTGCATGGCCATGGCCTGCATTCAGCTCCTCTCGGACTGCCACAGAATTAATATCAGCCCACGCAGAGAAGCACGAGATTGAACTTCACTCAACTTTCTAGAGTTTTCCCCTTTAGTTAACACTCAACGTTCCGCTCTACTGTGGGAATTGTGCTCAAATCATCGCAATATTAGCCACTTTCAATGTAACATACCGAAACAAAACTAACTATGCAATACTTAGAATGCAAAACTAACTGCAAGAGATTTTCTTGTAGGCAGAGCGCATTGGAGTAGGATTTTATTGCAATGACAGGCAGGACTCAGGCCCGTACTATACACAGACCGGTGCGCCATAACCAATCAGAGCACATTTGTTCATATTCTTTGCTAGTTAGTAAGTTAGTAGCTCAGTTACAGTGGCTTGCGAAAGTATTCAACTGCTCCAGCTCCTTCAAGTTGGATGGGTTCCGCTGGTGTACAGCAGTCTTTAAGTCATACCACAGATTCTCAATTGGATTGAGGTCTGGGCTTTGACTAGGCCATTCCAAGACATTTAAATGTTTCCCCTTAAACCACTCGAGTGTTGCTTTAGCAGTATGCTTAGGGTCATTGTCCTGCTGGAAGGTGAACCTCCGTCCCAGTCTCAAATCTCTGGAAGAATGAAACCGGTTTCCCTCAAGAATTTCCCTGTATTTAGCGCCATCCATCATTCCTTAAATTCTGACCAGTTTCCCAGTCCCTGCCAATGAAAAACATCCCCACAGTATGATGTTGCCACCACCATGCTTCACTGTGGGGATGGTGTACTCGGGGTGATGAGAGGTGTTGGGTTTGCGCCAGACATAGCGTTTTCCTTGATGGCCAAAAAGCTCAATTTTAGTCTCATCTGACCAGAGTACCTTCTTCCATATGTTTGGGGAGTCTCCCACATGGCTTTTGGCGAACACCAAACGTTTCTGCTTATTTTTTTCTTTAAGCAATGGCTTTTTTCTGGCCACTCTTCCGTAAAGCCCAGCTCTGTGTAGTGTATG